TGTCACTATGTTTGACTGTTTGGCAGCGTCTTGTGCCTGAATGATAATAAAACTAAGTATGTTATTGGCTACTTCCAGCTGCTTTTGTTTCTGCCAGCCCATATTAATGTTTTGTGTCTAATTATTTAGATTTGTGGCAAGTAGTCATATAAAAAGTTGGATCAATAGGAAGTTGTTTCTGCAGAATAATATTTAGAATTTTCTTATAACATATATTTTATGATGTAAGCAACACAGCTACAGCGAATCAAATCGATAATGTGTGTTTTAAATTTATAGTGTGCGAATTATCAAGGATTGACCATAATTTGTCATATTGTTTGCACCAAGGGGGCCCCAAATAAAATCCTGCTTAGGGCCCCCTGAAGCCTTGGGCCGGCCCTGGTTGTTTTTATTCGACAACGAGAGGGCAGCAGAGAACCATTTAACCCTTAAAGACCGAGACAGCCGCCCGCGGCTAAAAATAAGTATTGCTCTTAAATGTTTAATAACTTTTGATCCGCTGATCCGATTCATACAATTCAAAGATTGGCATAAAGAAGAGAATCTTAGCTTTCCAGTGCTGTATCACATAACATTCGCGGACTTTCAGAGGCTCCGGAATCAGTGCGGTTACGTCATCAAAATTTGACAACGCTGATTTGACAAAGAAACGCTCGTCACTGTGTCTCAGGACAAACCAGACATCATACATTGATGCATTGACCCTCCTCCATGCCCAGATTGGTTCAAACTCGCTATATCACAACCAATAAGCATAGGTTTCGCTTTTGTTTCTGGACCAACAAGCTTTTTGAACAACACGGAATGAGAGATAGGCATACATTTATGCGCGGCTAAATAAAACGCAAAAAAAAAAGTTTTGCATGAAATAATTCTCATACTAAGTACTTTTGCATGCACAGCAGCACAGAAAGATGACAAAACAGTGACACAGCAAAGACGAACTGCTGCTCTTGCTGTTTTCAAAAGACGCAAATGAAGGTGCAGCTGTTTGTCTGCATTGCAGACAACCATATCCATAGACAACCATATCCATGCTGGCACATAAAACCTAAGGATGTTCCATATTGAATCTAGTTTAGTTATATAACTATTTATAGTATAGTAAATATTTATATCTATTTTTTACTGAGGATTTGCACCATGTTTATTTGGACTTTGACACATTATTTATTATTTTCTTATTTTTTTATTTGTTCATTGTAAGTGGTGTTGTTTATAGTAACTGAAAATATATTATTTGGAAAAAGTGAAATTTGCTCCACTGTTCTATTATTTTGTAACATTTTTTTCTGTTTAGTTCATTCCCAGAACTTTTGAGCAAATACATTGTCAGTAAATAAATGCATTTTTTTTCCCCCATAAAAAAACGCCTTGGAATAACATTGAAATAAATCGCTATAACTTGCTCAGGGAATTGTGGATGTAGACAAAATTTATTTTGGAAGTATAAAACATCATAGCATGTATTTCTAAAGAAAGAAAAACAAACTTCATAAGGTTTTGTTTGAAATAACTAGAAAATGCCACTTTTTTTAAAAATCGTTTCTGGAAAATTCTGGAATATTTTCTGTCTGTTCATATGTTTTTGGACCAAAAAATATTTTAGACTGGACCTTTAAATGATACAGATTGAAACTTCAGGTTCTCCTGTTTAAAATGATATATGACACTTGAGGCTGACTGCTAAAATAAAAATAAAACTGCTTTTAAAAAAAATAATAATATAGGCCCATTAGGTGCCCACAAAATACCTCTAGGTCTTTAAGGGTTAATGCACTCATGGCTCATCACATGCAAAAAAAAAAAGACCCCATGAACTTCAAAATCTCCAGAACTCAATTTATTTATTAATTTGTGAAGACAAAAAAAAAAAAAAAAATCTGTTAACATTGGAGCAATCTCAAACTCTGTTTAAAAATGATCAATGGATAATTGATTGTATACTTCAGAAATGTCAAACCATGCAGCAATTAGCTACTAAATTCAGTCTCATGCTAAATCATATATAGGCCTATATGTTAATTAATGATCATAATCCGTTAAAACTATTTTAACAAACAAAGGCTATTTTACAACAAGAGAATATTAATGTAACTAATATTAACTGTGAGCCATCAATTATAGGCTAGTACTAATCTTTGTTATTAAAAACATCATCATGGGTCAGTTAATAATAAGTTACTATACTTGCAAAAAAAAAATGTTGTTCATGTTCATAACGTATTACAGTGATATGCAGAACAGTTATATGATGTTTATGGATATATTTAAGGGGTAGATGCAAGTAAACAGAGTAATTACAGATGTATTTACAGAAGTTTATACATTTAAATATAATACTTCAAAAATAATTGTGTAGTAACAGCAAATGTTATTTCAAATGTTTGTTAAAAACACAATATAAAAATTCATTCCGATCATATTAACAGCACTTGTAATAATGTTAAATATTAATTATAAACAAATGTTTTAGAAGTAGCTCTTTCAGTTAACTGTTAACAAAAAAAATCTTTATATATCTTACACTTAAAAGTAATCATGTTTGTCAACTAATAAACTATTCATTTATGTGGTTCAGACTGTAGAAAAAACAGAAAAAAATGGGTTCTAATGGTGTTTGACATATAAAGTATTTTTATAAATATTTATTTTTTAGATTTCCATGTTGCAGCTTTATTTTGTTCAGTGCGGATTGAAAGCGGTTTGCCATGTTAAAGGTTTAAAGGTCTTAGCCTGAAAGTTGTAATGAGCTCACATCATCAACATTCATATAATTATATTCAGATAATAAACATGAGTCAGAACCCAAGATCACTATAGAGGGCAAAATAAATTCCTCACTGAATCACTGGGATGAACCAAAAGGCTCAGACATACAAGTACCAAATGATCACTAAACAATCATAGGTCTGATCCTTGACCAGAGTAGCCATGTTTCATTAAACATTTTGCAGTCAGCAAGCTCTTAAGAGTTAGATAAAAAAAATGTCTGTGTTTCAGTAAGCGCATGTCTTCAAATTGGTCAAATTACAGCCCTGTGTGTACAGTGTTAGCCAGATCCAAAACTGTTTTTCTAATAACTCTCAGCTAAACAAACAACTGCACTGCTGCCTTTATTCGTGACTCACACAACATGGAAAAGGCAAGATTTTTTTTCCACACTGCAATCATACTGTATACAAAAACACAAAATATAAATACCTGAAATAACACACTTTTCAGTCATTATAAAATTACTTTGTACACAGTATGACTGTATGACATAATCCAAGTCATTTTAACTAGATTAACGCAAAAATTAAAATCTCACCAGGTTTCTTACTTCATTTGGGCACAATCCATCTATTTATTTAATATAAATTATAATACTGATTTAACATCCAACCATTAACAGGACATAATTTAATATGAATGGCACTGTCACATCATTTAGAGCAGGGGTCACCAATCTCGGTCCTGCAGGGCCGGTGTCCCTGCAGGGTTTAGCTCCAACTTGCTTCAACACACCTGCCTGGATGTTTCAAGTATACCTAGTAAGACCTTGATTAGCTTGCTCAGGTGTGTTTGATTAGAGTTGGAGCAAAAATCTGCAGGACACCGGCCCTCCAGGAACAAGTTTCGTGACCAATGATTTAGAGTAATCCTTGTAATACATATACTGGGTTCCACACCATTCCTGTTCATTCTAGATTGAACATAAAACAATCAAGCCCTCCACCCCTCCTTTTTTTAAAGGAACACACTTACTGTTAAGGACAGTACAAACAGAAAGTTTATTGAAACTGCTTTTATTCAGGACATTTCTTCAGGTTTTCTTCTGTATTTAATGCCTAAATATGTTATTAATATTTAAATGCATGGTGTGCCTAAATGCGAATGTACTGAATTAAATCTACACACACACACACACACACACACACACACACACGTTTGTTTTTGTGAAAAGTGGGGACATCACATAGGTTTCCATTCATTTTATGCAGCCCAAGCCATATATTGTATTGCCCTCACCCCACCCCACCCCTAAACCCTACCATCACAGGAGACTGTGTGCAGCATTACTCTCCGATTAAACTCATTCTGTAGGATTTATAAGCATTTTGAGAAACGAGGACGTCACCAATGTCCTCATATTTCACCTCCTTTTTGTAATACCTGTGTCATACCCATGTCATTATACAGATTTGTGTCCTGATATGTCACAAAAACACGTACACACACACACACACTTTATATATATAATTTATATATATAAATGCCATTATCATTTGAGCTTTGTCAACGGCAGAAGTGTATGTGGTTTAGGGGGTTTTGCCACCAGCAGCAGGTGCAGATCTGCCTTGACCTCACACCCCTCATTTATGCTCCCTGGGCCTTGAGTCCTTTCACTCGCCCCATACAATGTGCAAGCCCTCCAGATAAAATTGAGGGTCATTATGTATGGAAATAAGGCAAAATGCCTGCTTAACAAGTTAATACAAAGTGTTTTTTTGTTAAGAGTGCACACTAGGAATCTGTGTACATTGTCATTATTAGTTGCAGCTGGTTTACAAAACCGAAGCAATATTTAACTAAACATAAAGGGACTTACAACATATATAATTTGTAAAATAAATACATGAATAAAAAAAAAAAACTAAATATAAAAAAGGCAAAAAAGAAACAAATATTTTATAAACACACATCCAAAGGTAATTTTTTAAGCAGGCTGAGTGTTAAACTTTTGTTGTCATCAAAAAAATTTAACACTGCATCCAAAAACATGCATGGCAGGTATGACGGGTAAAGAAAGTAAAAACATTAGAAAAACAGAAACCTAGCGCGGCTAATAAGAAATATAATATAACAGAGGGTTTATGTATATTTTACAATTACATTTGAACAGTTGACCGTTATTCAACGTCTACGAGGGAGTTTTACTAGATTAATATGCTCTATATGAAATATACTCCAGTGAAAGAACATGCGCTACTATTTGTTTGGACGAGCACGTGACCTCTTCTGTGGGAAACATGGCTGCGCCCTGTGCAGCTCAGTGCTTATACAGAACAGGTATGTTTACAATTTACTTTAGGAAACGTTTAGGAATTCCTATTAAGTTTGTAGAGCGTAAACATTTAGACTGACTGTATGGTAACTAAACAAGGCATTATTCCCTAATGTCTAAATGTTAATAAACGCCTATCGTCAGGCTAAGCGGAATTTAGCTAACGCTAACTATTAATATCAAACGCAAACCCTACAGCTGTTTTACATGCGTACAGTAAGTTGTCAAATTTAGTTTCAAATTAACTTTAAACTCTAAGGCTTACATGTAACTCTCAATCTTTTGTTTTGACTGCAAAAACTTTGTTCCTGTATTCTCTTTTATACTGTTTATACATTTATAATTTTTAAATGATAACGGTCAAAACTTAAGATTTTTAAAATGTTTTTAAGATGTCAGCATATTAAAAGGATTTCAGAAGGCTAATGTCATTAAAAACTGCAGTGACAGCTGAAATTAGGCTTTTTCCTAACTGTAATAAATTACAGTTTATAACAAAGTATAGGCTCCTAAATAGTTATTTTAAATTCCAAATTTGTTTAACAGTTACACATTTTACTGTATGTTTATTATTACTAGTTTTCTTCTTTCTTTCTTAGTTTTTTTCTGACATGCCTTAATTTTTATTAATACACACACACACTCACACACACACATAAAATTGACAAACCACCTTATACAGTGAACCATAAACTGACTACCAAGTTTCAACATTTAAATTATTTTGTTTGTTAGCACTTGGCAGTCAGTTTATGATTCTATGCACAAGGTGTTTTATGCCAATTTTGTCATATATTTCAATACAAATGAAAAAAAATGAAGTGTTATACCAAGACAAAGAACACAAGGGAAGAAATGTAGGGCTTAATGTCTCGCTTGTTCTTTATTGTTGGTTTGGCAGATTCTTTGTGGGTCCAGTCGAAGTAAACAGGGAAAGTAGCACTACAACCCTCTCTGTCTGTTCAGCCAGAGCTTTTTACTTTATATATAAATAAAATGTAACCCAAAATTGCTTTTGGTGCTGCAAATCTTTTATATTGGTCCACAAAGATTTACAACTTCTGCTGTTAACAGGGTGGTGATTCAGGTTTTTTTTTAATTCTAAGATTTTTCACTAGTGTTACTGCTTATCCAGCCTTATTCAGATTCTAGATAATGATTCTGTTCTTCATCTATTTCAATAATATAATTTGCAAGTAACCAAGCACAGGCAAACACATTCAAATTAACATTACTTTATTTTGACATTTTCCCATTTTTTAAATTTCATTATGTATTCTGATGTTTTTTTTTTCTCCCTAAAGGTTATCCTCAATGAATTGGACAAAGTGGAATACTTAATAAGAAGTATGGTAGATGCATAATTAATCGCATGACATTGACTATGTTTACATGGACATCAGTAATGAAATTATTTGCCTTAATCTGAAAATAACAATAATATGATAAATGTGTTTATATGAGTTGCTTTTTGAATGTTCCTTTTATGATCTCGTTTTACATGATGTAGCGCATAATTCGATTAACGTCATTGCGTCACCACGCTATCCACATTTCTTCTGTAATTTTGGGTGGTTCATTTATAATTTCACAGCTTTAACTGCAGTTTCAGTTTGGCACTTTTACTTTCATTCAGGAACGTTTCATGCATGCCCCCCATGACAAATGAGATATTGGATGCGAGTATGAACTGCTGGAAGAGTGTTTTTTAAAGGAATTTGATACCACTTGCCGTATAGGGAAAAACAACTCCGCATTTTGCGAGGCAGGTGTCTGTGGTCCTTCACTGACTTCATTAATTGCAGAGCCAGAGAATAGTCAAACAGCTGTGTTTTATAGATTATATTGTTGTAAAATGTGGCAAAAATCCTACACAACGGTAATAGTTTGATTGCGGTGTTTACATCTGAACTGCAGTTCAATAATACCACTAAAAAAGGCTTACTCTAGTCCACATGTCTTAATTCGATTTCTGTTTAGTTTAATTATGACATTAATCGGATTAAATTAGGCTAATCAAAAATCGCTGTTTACATGGTAGATTTTTAATCAGAATCATTGTCTTAATCTGATTAAAATTATTGGTGTCCATGCAAGTGTACTCAATGATTATTAATAAGCATAAAATGGGTCAGCTGATTAACCAATCAGGTAATCATAAAACAATTAAAGCGATTAGTTCACCCAAAAATGAAAATTCTGGCATTATTTATTCATCCTCCACTTGTGTCAATCATTTTTTGAAGTTTATTGCTTTTATTGAACACAAATGAAGATATACAGTAGAATGTTGGGATAAAAATAGCCATTGACTTCCACAGGCATTTTCTTTGTATTGATGTAGGAGGCTGCATTTTCTAACTTTTCTTCAGAATATTTTTTGTATTCAATAGAAAAAAAGAAATTTTTGGTTGAAATCTAATTTCAGCTAAAAGCTATACAGAATGACTGTAAAAACAAGCAATTGGTTCATTTTCTGTAAAAAAGTGAGTAAACCCACTGTTAATTAGAACTGACTCAACTTAATTTTTATAATTATGCACATACTTAATTTATTCAGTTTTAAGGCAAATTTTAGGATGATCCAATTACACACTTTTTTTAAGTCAACTAATTGCTTTAACAAACATTTTCAACATTTACTTAGTGAAGTCAATAAATAGTTTTCTACAGTGTATGAATTAAGACATGCTAATTTCAAAAATGCACATGGTTTCGGATAGATTGTGTAAAGATGGGATTTAACTACAGCTAGGGCTGCTCAATTTTGGGAAAAATCATAATCACAATTGTTTTGGTCATAATTGTAATCACGATTGTTCAAAACGATTATCAGTTGAAGTCAAAATTATTAACGCTCCTGAGAATTTTTAAAAATAAATATTCCCCAAATTATGTTTAACAGAACAAGAAATTTTAACAGTATTTTCCTCTAATATTTATTTATTGTTTTATTTTGGCTAAAATAAAAGCAGGTTTAAATATTTTGAAACCCATTTTAAGGTCTATAATATTAGCCCCCTTAAGCTATATATTTTTTGATTGTCTGTTATTTTTTGAACCCTTTGAATCACACTTTGAATACAAATACTTGTAGTTTGAAAAATATCTAGTCAAATATTAGGTGCTGTCATCATAGCAAAGATAAAATAAATCAGTTATTAGAAATGAGTTATTAAAACTATTATGTTCAGAAATCTTCTTTCAATTAAACAGAAATTGGGAGGAAAATGGTTGCTAATATACAGGAGAGCTAATAATTCTGACTTCAACTGCATATACAGTTATTTTCCACCCTGCAAAGGAAAGAGAAATAAATACAATAGAATAAAAGTATGAAACAAACTGTGCTTTAAGCATCTTCACCCTAATAAGAACACTTTAGCTACAAAAGTCCAGTCCTGACTTCAACTGCATATACAGTTATTTTCCACCCTGCAAAGGAAAGAGAAATAAATACAATAGAATAAAAATATGAAACAAACTGTGCTTTAAGCATCTTCACCCTAATAAGAACACTTTAGCTACAAAAGTCCAGTCCTGACTTCAACTGCATATACAGTTATTTTCCACCCTGCAAAGGAAAGAGAAATAAATACAATAGAATAAAAATATGAAACAAACTGTGCTTTAAGCATCTTCACCCTAATAAGAACACTTTAGCTACAAAAGTCCAGAGCAATGAGGGATTTTTTCGTTTTGTTTGATTAATGATAAAAACAGGCGGCAGCAGGAATATCACAGTCACTTTAATGGTTTCTCTTTCACATGTCTTTTGATTCTTAACTCGTTTGTTTATTACACAAATGAGGGCTGATATAAATAATCACTAAACACCGCAGTTTGACACCTATTTGACCATTGAAGCGCTCACGTTAAGATGAGATATGTGCGCTCTGCTTAACTCAGTGTGCGAATAAGACTAAGTACTGACCGCATGCTTCTGATTGAGTGTGCGCGCCGCACACACACACACGCACACACGCACACACAGAAGCATGCGGTCTTTCGTGCTTTTAAGAGCAACACGTGTACAACTGGAAAGGGGCGGTATATGATGCAATAATCGTTTATTTCGATTAATGATTTTTCATAATCGTTAGAAGCCAAAATCGAAATCGGATTTTCAATCAATCCCACAACGGTTTGAACTGTAGTTTTGCTGAATGGCTTTTTCGGACATTACATATTTTTACATATGTACATTACTGTAACCCGTTTTATTTAAGAACATTTGAGCTGGTTTCAGTCTTTAGCTTTTTCAATTTCGTCTTATTTAAAACATATTTATCTTGCTTGTCGATTAAATCCCATTTTGTTATTTAACCTATTAATCCTTTGCAACAGTCAAGTTGTATGTTAATTTGCTATGAAGTAAATGAAATAACTTATTTTTTGCATGCTGATTTATATGAAATCGTGAATATAGGTCTATATAATAACCTTGCAGTTTTGAAATTTTAGCTTTTTTGCTTTAATGATAGACTATTCATTTCATAAGAGCAGTTCAGTCTTTTATGAAGTTTGCTGTATAAAAATATAACGTTTTGAAATATTTATAATTATCGCCTATACATACCGACTATCAGCCTCCAAGTCTGAAGAATTATCAGTATCGACCAAAAAATCCATATCGGTGCATTCCTAGTTACATAATAATTGTATAAAATGATAAAACGTGAAATGATAAAAACATATGATATTAATTGGACCCAGCTTAAATGTAAAATTAAGTTACCTGAGGGAGAAGGAGAGGATTAGTAGGACTGAGGAAGAGAAAGAGAGAGAGACAAAGAACAGAGAGTAGGCCCCAAAGAGAGCCTGATAGCAGTAGAGTCAGAAGGGAAAATAGACTTCAGAGCAGGAAAAGCGCAGAGCAAGAAAAGAGACCAGAGCAAAGGAATCACATTTAGTATCTTTCTTGACCATGTGACCAAAGCACAAATACTGACATCTGACCAATCAACATGACCACATCGTAAAACCCCCAAAGTCCACACACATATTAACCATTCACTGGTCTTATCAGTATCTGTCTTCGGAATCTTTATGAAACTTCTTGGTGTAAAAGACATGTTTTGCAATATAAACAAATGCATAGTTTAACTTGCAATCTTACAATAGTATTTGAATTAGGAAGAGAGCGACTAATGATTTTCAAGTGACATTAAAATTATAAGTTGACACTGATGTTTTCTCAGAACTGAAGTAAAGATATAGCTAAAACAAGAGACTAAGTCTATATTGTCGACCACACACACAAAGGGAATTCAGTGCAATCCACATCCTTGGCCACATCCTTTGCTCACTGCCACCCAAATTGTTGTCACTACACACAGCCTCTGTGTACCCCACCCTGGGTTTAACCCACTACTGCCTTTATTCCAAACCCCTCCAATAACCGCCCCTTTGCTGAATATGAGCTATTCCCTTCGTCACTGCTATTTTTTTCATCTTTGTAACTCAATCCTTTCTTGTGTATAACTACGTTTATTTTGGGCCTTTGACCACTGCGTTTTGGTCACAGTTCTTTTCTCAAGACTAATCTCTACAGTCCTCATTGACATGAGTTATTGCATGCTTGTTGATGTGTGGTGGTGGATCTCAGATTTTTTTCTTTGGTGGTTCAGATTCAGAATCGAGCTTCATAATGTGTGACGATCATTGCATATTGTAATTTTATGAACTATTTGTTTTCAGGGAGGAAATGGGTTTGGGGACATATTTACTGAGCAAGCAATATTTGTACATTTGAATTCACTTTACTTGATGGAAGTTTGGTTGAAAGGTCCGACATTGTCATAAAAACAGCCATGGAACTGTAGTTTTGGATAAGGCTCTAGTGAAAATAAATATATTTTTAATTATAATAGGTCCTTTTAAAATATATTCAGGTATTTCAATAAATTGTAATTCTTTACTGTTAATCGAAGTTGTTCCTGTACTGTAAAAAAAAAATCCAGGTTGCCCTAAATTTTTAAGCTGAGTCAAATTAACCTTATGGGTTCATTGAACTCATCTTGTTAAACTGACCTAAAACTGCTTGCATAACGAATAAAATTAAGTCAGAAGATGATTAACCTAGTTTAATAAGTTACAATGAACAAAAACTAATGCTGTCATGATTAATTGTTCATATCATTTTTTTACAGTGTGTAAAATCACTAAAAATATTGAATTATTAATTTTCAGCTTCTAAATTTGCATCTTGAGAGAGGTCATGTTTTGATCCTCGATTAGTCTTACCAAACAAGTGATGCCATTTCGCAGGTCAGATTTCACCAAGCTTGAACTTTGCAATGCAGCGAACTGCGAAAACTTGTTTGACACATTCGCTTGTGTAAAAATAGAGTCTATGGGGAGAAAAGTCCAGTGTGCCCGCAACTTATTACTTATAGTTCTAATTATATTATACATGTAAAAAAAAATTATTGTCGACAAAAATTAAGCTGCTTTCATGTCGAAAATAATACAATAATGTTGTATTAGTTGATTATTTTAATCAATAGTTGATAGTTAACATTTTTACTAACATGAACACAGTGCAATGCATTTATCTAATTATTTATTAATTTTTATTAATGGTAATTCATGAAATAAGTTGTTCATTGTTAGTTTTTTAACTCACAGTCAGTGCATTAACTAATGTTAGCAGGCACAGCTTTGGATTTTAATATTGAATTAGTAAATGTTGGACTATGATTATTAATAAATGCTGTTCAATATTCTTAGTTCATGTAAATACATCAAATATCATTTACGGTCGGACCATCATTTTAATAATTTGTGTACTGGCATCTATTTACATGTACAGTGAAGGTCAGGATCAGAACATTTGGTAAATACAATGCACTATAAGGAACATTAATTGTACTTTTTGAAAATAGAGTAAAATGGTTGAGTTTTACCTTTCCATTCAGCAGATCTCCTGATTTGTTCTGCCTGGAGAACTTTTAGCTTAGCTTAGCATAGTTCAATAACATCAAAATAGATTAGACTATTAGCATCTTACTCAGAAATGACCACAGAGTTTTGATAAAAGAGTTAAGCTTTAAAAAGGACAATTATCAAACAGTTTTTTTGACATTTTTGAGCTAGATGCTAATGGTCCAATCCGATCCAATGTCTATGCTAAGCTAAAAGTGCTCCTGTCAGACCCAAAAATCATCACAATGGGAAAACATTATTTTAGTCATTGAAATTTTTTGTCAAATATTTTATTTTATCATTGAATATTTTAGTCAAAGGTCTAATGTTTTTGGTGCACATATTTAAAGGAGATGCACTTGACTTCGTTGCAGAAAAAAAGGTAGATGGTTGATCCTATGAACTATTAGGTTGGACACAATTTTTATAATTTGCAACGTTTATGGTTGTAATTCTAATGCGTTGAATACGATTTTTCTTGCCAAAATTTTAGATTTAATTAATCAAACAAAAAAAAAAAAATTTATATATATATATATATATATATATACACACACACACACACACACACACACACACAATGTTAACATTTTTTTTTAATTGTTGAAAAAAGAAAAATCACATTTACAGAAGTATTCCTGTGAAGCTCTAAATTGAGCTCAGTTACATTCTGTTTCCACTGATCATTCTTGAGATGTTTCAGCAGCTTAATTGTAGTTTACCTTTGGTAAATTCAGTTGATTGGACATGATTTGAAAAGGCATACATCTATCCACATAAGGTCCCAGGATTGACAGTGCATGTCAAAGCACCAACCAAGCATGAAGACAAAGGAAATGTCTGTAGACCTTCGAGACAGGATTGGCTTGAGGCACAAGGCTGGGGAAGGTTACAAAAAATTTCTGCTGCTCTGAAAGTTCCAATGAGCACAGTGGCCTCCATCATCCATAATTGGAAGATTTTTGAGACCACCAGAACTCTTCCTAGAGCTGACCGGCCATTTAGGCTGAGTGATCAAGGAGAGTTCTTCTGTGGAAAGAGAAGAACCTTACAGAAGGACAACCATGTGTACAGCAATTCACCAATCAGACCTGTATGGTAGAGTGGCCAGACAGGAGCTACTCCCCATCTGGAATTTATCAAAAAGGTATCTGAAGAACTCTCAGACCATAAAGCCTTGTTTATACTTTTGCATCAATTGATCGGCGTAACCCACGGCGCATGCAACGCGCATAGCAGTGCATTTGTTCCTCTTTGTCGAATGTCTTCACTGGTGTTTTGTTTTTTCTGAACGCTTCCTTTATGTACAAGTGGCTCAAACTAGCTCATTTTGAGGCAGGAACTGGTGGACGTGCATTAACGTTAACCATGAGGTAAACACAAAACAAAACTCTCCATCCGGAGCTCCTTCACGGGACTCCACACTTGTAAACAATCGCTCCATCGGGCTCGCAAGGCTCTCCGTCCGGCTCAGACTCATCAGCGCTACCAAGCCGACCAATCACAGTGCTTGCGCTATGCGTCGTTGCGACGTGTAGTTACATTTTTTGAGAGGTGCGCATCAGCGACGCTGATGGTCACAACGTAGGGCTATGTGTCAAAGCGTAGGCTACGCCATAGCATACGCATGCGATTGATACAGAAGTATTAATTAGCCTTAAGAAACTAAATTCTTTGGTCTGATGAGACTAAAATTGAACTCTTTGGAGTGAATGCCAGGCGTTACTTTTGGAGAAAACCAGGGACCGCTCATCACCAGGCTAATACCATCCCTAAAGTTAAGCATGGTGGTGGCAGAATCATGCTGTGGGGATGTTTTTCAGCAGCAGGAACTGAAAGACTATTCAGGATAGAGGGAACGATGAATGCAGCAATGTGCAGAGACATCCTGAACAAAAACGTAATTCAGAGTGCTCTTGACCTCAGACTGGGGCGACGGTTTATCTTTCAGCAGGACAATGACACTGAGCACACACCAAAATGTCAATGGATACATATAAGTTTGAGTGTACTAGTTTTTTTTTTTTTTTTTGACCATTATTGTAAGTTATTTTGTTAGATAAGCTCCGAATTTGGCTTCAGTACTGACTAATGTATCTAATGTATATGCACAAATATAATATTGTATAGCTTCTTAAAAATATGAATTTAAAAGATAGATTTGTTAGGGGTATACTTGTATATGCTAGGCACTATATATGTCTAGCACACAAATTGCCCTGTTATGATTATGGCAAAATACCAATAGCTTTTTCCCCGACTATGATTTGGTATCGTTCTTAAAAATCAAGTCATCATTTACTCATCCTTCACTTATTCTAAACCTGTTTGAGTTAACCACAAAAGAAGACATTTTGAAAAAAGCTTGAAACCACCATTGACTTACATAGTAATTGTTTTCCTGCCATTGAAGTCAGTGCTTACAGGTTTTTAGCTTTCTTCTCTCTATTTAGAAGTTAAACAATCCTATTTAGGCTGTCAGAGATTAAAGATACTCATAAAGGTTGGGAACCACTCGAGCGTAAGTAAATTGGGAGTACACTTTCTATTTGTTGTAAAGGATCCCTTTAAGATCACAGAGGGCTCCAGAAGTTCCCTCCTCAGAGCATTATCACCCCTTTCCTGATATTTTTCCCTTTGTGCAGGTGGCTTAAGGCTGCTACAGAGAATTTCAAGGCTACCTCACTGCCACAAAGATGCATCTTTGGCCCACCAGTGCCAATTTCACCGATCTTTCTTCTGGAGGAAGCCAAAAACTTCCCACAGTGTAGTCCGGCCTGCCATAGTGCGCCCAGCTTATCCCGTACCCAAGGTAACTTCCACTTCATCAAGTGACACTAAAAATGTAATGTCGATTAAATCTAAAAAAAAAATTCTACTTTGTCATAGCACATTCAGAGGCCTGACTACGTGTCATCCAGCAAAGTGCCTGAATGGCCAGATTACATTGAGATTAAAGATGAAGAGCAGATCCAGGGATTAAGACGAGCGTGTCAACTAGCCAGACACATACTGCTGCTGACAGGAAACAGTTTGAAGGTAAACTCTACACTTAGCTGAAATCCGAGACCGTAATGTTGAATGAGCTTGATGTGACTTGTCTTTTGAATTGTTATTTGCAGACACTGTCACTATATTGTTTGTTTCTCAGGTTGGTATGACGACAGATGAAATAGACTTTATAGTCCATCAAGAAGCGATTCGTCACAATGGCTACCCTTCTCCCTTACATTATGGGGGCTTTCCGAAGTCGGTCTGTACCTCTGTGAACAATGTTGTATGTCACGGCATTCCAGACAGGTAACTCAGTGCTATTAAACATAAGTGCTTTGTTTTGACTGAATCTGTATACATTTGTTTGTTAGTATGTAGTTGAATGACATAAAATAGAAGTGCTCAATTCTGGTGCTGGAGTGACCTTTAGAGTTTAACCACTACATAAAAGCATTGTTAGCCAAATATCCTTGCAAATTAGTATTAATTTCATAGTTTCCCAAAATCATAATTCCAATGGACATTGCCAAACAGCATCGAATAATTGAGTGATTGTAGTTATCATATTGTCCCATAAAGGTCTAGTCCTTTATTATTTCCTTCATTTAGCCAGAAGATCACATTGAGACAGTACTGTCTCTTCTTCCAGTGAGACCTGGTCAAGACGGCAGACAGCACACTACTCAGAAAGTTGGAAGTGGGTCAAAATTAAGCTGATTTTGCAGATCATTCCAAGCCGTAGGAGCATAAATGATAAAGCACGTTGTCCAAGTTCTGACAATATCCTTGGGACTGTTAAACAAATACAGGAACCAGATCTAGCGTGTTGGTTATTTATATGAAATGTTAGCAAATTAGAAAGATGGATTGTAATTTACTTAAGAGAGTCTTTAAAGTAAATAAGTACAAATGTAATTTTCTCCGTTGATATAAAGATAACTAATCTAAAGAATTGTACAAATTGCAGGGATGCGTCCATAAGTCTGCACCTGTGACAGAATCTAGTTTTCTAAATAGAGTAGCAGCTGCATGCATATATAGATGATAACCATAATCAATTATAGACAAAAATGTACCTCTACTAATTTCTTATAAGGAAAACAATTTTTTGACTGGGATAAGAAACCTGATTTTGGCCTAAGCTTTTTTAATAACTTGTCAACAAGTATATCAAAGGCTTATCTCTCATAAATCCAAATACCTAGATATTTATAAGAGCTAACGCTTTCTATTTGTACACAATTCAAAGATGTAATTGTCTGGTCTGTTACCTTAGTGCAGCCACGGCTAAAAATCATATATTTAGTCTTTTTAAAATTTAAAAACCAATTTTAAATCCTGCAACGTACACTGTGATACTTGAAAAGCATTCTTTAAATACTGAAAGCATTCTGTAAGTACTTTAGGAGGAAACATGGGCTAAGGATCGCTAGTTTGCTGTCCCAACTTTTTCTGATTTGCGGTTTTATTAAAATCTGTCAAACTTTTCAAAAACAGCATCCTTATTCTCTTGACTTCTCTCATGAGAACGACAGCTCTGTTTTTGAAGAGAGACCTGGGGAACCCCAAGAGAAGGATGTAAGAGGGAAGCTGCTATTAAATAGAAGTAGTAAAGCGTCTTGTAAAACAACAAAGAACAAAAATAGCAAACCATTTCTCAGATACTGTGTTCATATGTACAGTAATTTGACACTGAGTCTTTGAGTCTAGGGTCATGCAACAAGACAACGGTCCTAGACATACCAGCAAATTTATAAAAACAGCTGACAAAGAAAACAAACAACAACAACAAAAATCAAGGTGTTGCAATTGACCTTATTCTTTAGTGCGGAAGTGCGTTTGTTTTTCAATTGTTTTAGAACTTCTGATTTAGTGTCCAAACAAGTATTTCCATGACTATTCATAAAAAGTAGAATAATATAATAAGGAAAATATCAATATGCAACATCAAGTAGCATAACAAGCTGTTTTTACGTCTAAAAATGAGTGGAACTGAATAGGACCGGAAGTCTCAAGTCAAAAAGATTCCAATTGCTGCGCCTACTTGTACATCAAGAATAAGGTGTATAGTTCAAATCCAGATCTTATTCAGGCAAGAGCTGTGCAAAAACTCCTCCTGAATGATCTGAGAAACTTTTAAGATCATACAGAAAATTATTATTTTAACAAATTACTGCTGAAAGTGGATCTACAGGCATCTGAATCATAGCGTGTCCTTGAAAACATGACTTTTCTATCTCGACTTTAGTTTGATTAAAAAAATAATAACATGGTGTGAGATGTCGTCATGATGTTTATCTGAGGTTTAATCTTCTGAATTTTAAGACCTGCCAAGGGCCAATTGTTTTTATTGTTTTCCTGATACAGGAAACCATGGAATTCAATAGGATGTCCTAACTTTTTTACATGATTTCACATGTTGAAATGATGGATGCTCAAGTGTTCCTGTGCAAGTCTACCAGCTTGTTAGTTTGAAATACAATGCATTGAACTATTGTAGATAAGTAGGAAGTTACCTTGTTGTTTGAGAAAATGGAAGTTTCTTGAGGATATTTTCAAGGACAGGAATGCGTAACCCTGTTTTTGGAGATCTACCTTCCTACAGAGTTCAGCTCCAACCCTGATTAAACACACATGAACCAATCAATTAGGACCTGAATAGCACTTGATGACTACAGACAGGTGTGTTTGCAATTGAATCCTGCAGGAAGGTAGATCTTTAGGAACTAACTTCCGCAACATTACCATTGGAGAAAATAAAAATGTAACTGTCATCTTGAATCGTGCACTTATAAAATGTATATTTATTTGCAATAGCAAATTTCTAGCAATTATGAGATTTTCCTATTATTGCTGCATACACTGGAAAAAACATTCTAAATTGTTGCAAACAATTTATATAAGCTAAATATAAATAAACAAATTAGGCTGAGCATTACTGAATTTAATTTGTTTGTTTAAAAAATAACCTCTTACCTTAAAACATTTAGTAGATCCAATAAATCATTTTTTCAGTGTAGTATTAACAGTAATATTTTAAGTGAATATAATGAGGATATTCCATTGCTGTCCACACCAAATGTGGCTTTATTACAACATGAAAGTGCCCTGCTCAAAGTGAGTAGGGCACTGGGAAGTTCACTCTGATTGGAGTTTGCTAATAGAGTAGGGGAGAGGATGCTTCAGATTATATGGTATCACAGCGTAACATTCTTTTGCTAACCTTTGAGCCTTAACTTAAGCTGCAAAGTCTGTTTGTAGCACCTGGTTCAGGTGTGCTCAGTTAGAGCTGGAACCAAATGTGGGAGATTGGCTGCTTCCATAAGCACCATTGAGTAACTCTGACATTAAAGACTATATAAGAAAGAAAAAAATGAATTGATTTAATTCATTTATAAAATGCCAGGCAGTGGAACCATCAAGTGTAAATATATTTTATTCTGGTTACAGGTGAATAATTGTATTAAATATTGCAACAGAATAACATTTTACAATCTTAGGCTGAACCCACATCACAAGATAATCAGGATGATTTTTGAGTTAATTTCTCTCCTTCCTGATGTCCTGATTATCTTGGTGGATAAAAAAAAAACACCTTATCAGATTTCCCTTTGTCAAGAGGTGTGTTAAGAGTAACTTAATCTTCTCCGAAGAACTCTGATGTGCAAATCTTTTTAATATGTTGAATCGGCTTTAAGATTTGTTGTCTACACCACAAAAGTTTATTTGATTGTACTTTTATTCGGTCATATTTAGCTTTATTTAAGATTCATAAGTCATTTCAAAATAGATTTTATAAACTTCGTAACATTGAGCTCTAATAAAAAAAAAAAACAATAGTTCATTCATTCATTTTCTTTTCGGCTTAGTCCCTTTATTAATCTGGGTTGCCACAGTGTAATGAACCGCCATCTTATCCAGCATATGTTTTACGCAACGCATGCTCTTCCAACTGCAAGCTGTTACTGGGAAACATTTATACACACTCATACACACTCATACACTACAGACAATTTAGCCTACAAAATTCACCTATAGCAGATGTCTTTCGACTTGTGGGGGAAACCGGAGCACCCGGAGGAAACCCACACCAACACAGCGAGACCATGCAAACTCCACACAGAAACTTCAACTAACCCAGCCGGAGCTCTAACCAGCAACCTTCTTGCTGTGAGGCGAACCCACTGCGCCACTGCACCTAATATATATACTTTAATTAATATATACTTATTATCTATATACTTTTTATTAAAATAATATATATTCTATTTTATTAAAAGTGTCCACTATATTTTCATGAATCAAAATGTCAAAATGTAGGGTCTAATGCAATCTTTATATAATTTTATTATTTGATTTTGAATTATTGTTAGATCACATGAAATGAAGCCATTTTAAGTTAGAAAGCAAACTGACAGAAGACAGAAGCATAATAAACACAATCATGGCACAGCATAACGTAAAATATGTTTGGACAGCATAGATGGAGAAGCAGAGGGGTTAAAATTAAGAAAGCCAGGAAAACAGAAAAAAATTGGCTTGATTTAGTTTAATCAGCTCGTCCTGGCTTAGTTTGTTGCACGTTTGCTGATCCTGGATGATATTGTGCTGCTATGTCAAGCCTGGTGTTGATAGCCAGGATAAGTGCACTTTATTTTTCTAACAACTCATCTGTTTTATCTCTGTTACACAGAAACGTTAAACGCCTATGTGATCATATGGACAATTATTGCTTATTCATTTGAACATGCATTTTTTTTAAATTCTAACAATTGTAAATTGTAAAGAACATGGATTGAGCGTAAAACATGTTAATATCTAGAAATATTGATAGTTAAACTAACAGATAAATCACTAGGATTAAATGTTAGCCTGCACTGTAGCAGGGTAGGTGCAAAGAGTAAATCTCAGTAGTAACTTAATTTAGCTTAATTTAGCCTGCTTTCATGCATGGCTCAGTCAAGGGCAAATTTAGCCGGTAGCTTGAATATACCAGTTTAATCCCTTATCTTGCGTTTGTGCAGTATTTGTGGGAACAGCACACGTTTATTCGTTTATCCTCCATTACTTTCTCTTTCTCTTTACTTTTACTCTTTACTGCTTTATTTTTGTGAATAAGGAAACGGTGTTGTTTGAACTCCACTGAAGACATCCATTAGCCTGCATATTTAAATTTGTTTGTTAACAAACAAAGATTTGATTCAAATCTATTTCTAAATTCAGTCCTAATTGCCAGCAAAAGATTAAATGAACAATAATAATGAAGTGTAGTCAAAAAACTGACTTGTATCCAAACACGTCCTGTTCTTATGCCCCATATAGTGACGCATACGTCTCCAAAAACCGACAGGTGGACAAATCTTGTTTTTAATAAAACAAATATAAATATGCATATAATAAATAATACTTCTAAAAATAATAACATTATACAAATGCAAATTGTCATGAATTAACTGAAAAAAGGCATGAAGAAGTTATAGAGGCAGTGGTTTTTATATTTATGTAGAAAATAATAATTTTTGTAACATTTCAACCCTTTAATTTTTTCATTTGTAAAGATGTTTGTGTATTGCTGTACATCCTGTGTGTTTCAAGCAACGTGTAAGCGTTTGAACCTGCATATGAACATAATTAACGCGATCTGCGTTGGAATTTAGACTAGCTTTCAGTTTGTCGATGGCGCTATTTCAGTTCTTCAAAATAGCAATACACAATGCACCTAAACACACTTCTATTTTTGACCAGCACACCGCTGAGTCTAAAAATTGGCGCAAGTGGATTTGCTATTTAAACAACATGGTGCAAAACAAAAAAAATGGGGTTGTACTGGTCTTAAAATAGCAACAAATTTTGACAAACATGTCTTGCGCCTTATTGTGCCGGGTGTATGATAGGGTCCTCTGTTTGAAAATCTGATGGTGTGTGGTCTTCTGTCTTTGTCACATGGTGGCACATTATTGAGTTTTGTATTTTTTCCCCTATTTGTTGTTTCTAAGATTTAAAAAAAAAAACATCTAAAAAGACTTAATAAATATTTTAAGTGTGTACAGTCAAGAGAAGATGTGTTTCTGCATGTTGGTGCATGACATGACTTTCAATTGGTGGACAAATTTTATTCACATGTTTTTTTTTTCATAATTATCTTTTTTTTTTCTTACGTAGGGCAGTTGTATCACCCCAACATTTATTATTATGAAGTATGACTTATCACTTTAAGTTATTAAGTGTGACTCGATATTGCATTTTTAATATATTTTTTAACAATTTTTTTAGAAAAAACTACATCTTTGACCCATACTGTGAATCCTGTGTTTTGATTTCTAGTCGGCCATTGCAGGATGGTGATATCATCAATATTGATGTCACAGTAAGGCCTTTCCTTAAATTGTTAGTCTTTTATTTGTTGTTAGAACTCAGTAAGGATATTATTTATGCATGTCCTTATCAGCTAAAATAGTCAATATGTATTCTGTAGGTTTATCTGGAAGGTTACCATGGTGACACCTCAGAGACATTTCTGATTGGCTCAGTCAACGACCAGGGCAGGAAATTAGTGGATGTGGCTCGTCAATGCAGAGATCAAGCCATCGCCGCCTGTGGCCCGGGACAACCTTTGTGCGTCATTGGCAACATCATCAGGTGAGTCTACATTCCCACTCTTTCCATCGCAAGTTTCAATTCCTAACAGCACCTTTAAGTATAGATATCTGTGGGAAACATCTTTCATTCATTATTCATTTTCCCCCACTTGCTTGTTTCTTTCTTTTTTTTTGTTAAAAATAGCAGATCTAACCTTTGTTATCCTTCTTTTGTGCAAAAGTTAAAAAAAAGACAGCAATCTTGCCTTGTCAGGTTATGAAGCCCTTATTTGATAGTGTAGTGTCTGAAGAAGGACTGCACAGAGTTAATGTATTTCTCAGTGAGCTCCGAGCAAGCAATTACCCAGAGTGCATTGGGGTTTTTCCTGCAATGGGGTGTAAATTACAGGTTAGTTTGTCTTGTTGGATGTGTGCGTGTATGCATGTGTCCGTGTGTGAGGGGGAGAGAGAGAGAGAGAGAGAGAGCGATGTAAATTACAGGCTTGCTCCTGCTGTCTTTGAGAATCGTAGACTCTGCCAGGGTGGATTCAGCTCCCCACAGAGACACGAAAAGATCCGCAGGAGCCTTTTCACAGAGAAAGAGGACACACTCAATCACTCACATACACTACAGAAACATCTTATTGACTTAACGCTTCTAATGCAAAGACGTACATGTGCAAAATATCAATAGTGAAGATGCTTAAATGGGGCTCAGGGTCAAAATGCTGGGGAAAAAGTGCCAGTGAATGTTTTATTATTGAATTGTACGACAAATGCTGACATGCATGTATGTTTGTACATGTATTTTGAAATTAAAGCATTGAATATAATTGTATGGATATACACTAGCAATAAATATTCCTTCAGTGTCTGAGGAAGCAATGCTTTTGTTGTTTCTCTCTCTCTCTCTCGCTCTGTTTCTCTCTCTGCGTAGGATTCTGAGCTTCTGCAGGGACATACACTGTTATTATATACACACAGAGGGAACAATTACCTCTCCTCAGGAAAAAGCACTTAGACCTCTCCTTCACTCCTTCTCTCCATCTCTCCCTTTTATATATTTTTTTATCATGCTGGCACCCTAGCATCCTCTTTCAAACTCTTTGCAATTCTTTGTCTATTGCGTTTTTCAATATTCTTTCTTTTATCTTTTTCTTTTTGCTAGTTACCTTCTTGATACACCCACCTCCCCAAATATATAAAAAAAATTCTGGTTGAATATGTCTAGCATGTGTTATTCACAGTGAAAAAGCTTTTTTCAACTTGTATTTACATGTAAGCAACACTGTTAAATTTGACATCTCAAAAACAACACACTAGTAAACCAGATTTATTTATTTTTATTTATTATTATTTTTAGCTTTTACGCTAATCATTTTGCAGACACTTTTTTTTTCCGAAGGAGGAAAATAAACATACACTACTGATTAAAGGTTTAGAGGTAAGTTTTTTTCATGGTTTCATGGTTTTTTCTGTTCATTCTGTTTAATTATTCTGTTCATCAAGGTAGCATTTATTAAATAGAAAAAAAAAGTTAAATATTTATAAACATTTTAAATAGCCGCTTTCTTATTTTATGTTGTTTCAAATGAAATCATTATTTCAGTTATTATTGCTTTTATTAATATTACCATTAATAATAATAATAATAACAATAATAATAATAATTAATATTAGTGTGATTTCTGAAGTATCATGTGACTCTGAAGACTGGAGTAATGAAGCAGAAAATTTATCTTTAAAATCACTGGAATAAATTATTAAAGTAAATTATAAACATTTTTGAACAGTTATTTTAAAGTACAGTAATATTTCACAATTTTACAATTTGTACTGTTTTTTTTATCAAATAAATGCAGCTTTGGTGAACAGGGGAAGCTTAATGTTTTTTTAAAACATTAAAAAATTCTACTGACCCCAAACTTTTGACCGGTAGTAAACATTTATATCATACATCAAAAAAAGATTGTTTCCCTGTACTGGCTTGCAGCTGTAAGGGCATCCGCTGTGTTAAACATACACTGGATAAGTTGGTGGTTCATTCTGTGGGGACCCCTGATGAATAAAGGGACTAAGCTGAAGGAAAATGAAAGAATGAACAAAGATGAACCTGGCTCAATATAAATCTGAATATTTACTTATGTTTTTTGTTGTTGTTTTTTAATTGCAGCAATATAGCAAACTCAAATGGATTTCGTGTATGTCCATATTTTATTGGCCATGGGATCGGAGAATATTTCCATGGACATCCAGAGATATGGCATCATGGTAAGAGTTCAAATTAGGTCTTAGTTTATTTTAAGGTACAATTACTCTCTATCAACAAACAATTATCCAAACCACAGTGCGATAAACATTTGCAATACTTTTTCATAGGCACTTGTACACATCACTTTATAACTTGTATTTATAACAAATCTGCACATACAATTCATCATCTATAGCTCTTTTATCTAATTGCATCTCTGTCTAAGGTTTGTCGCCTTTTCTCATACTTATTTTCGTGTTGTCACTTGTCACTTTATGTACAGTGGAAGCTTCTGTAGTCAAAACAAATTACTTGTGTGTGTTAAACCGATTCTGATTTTGATTCTGATTAACTATGACTTTTAGATCAATAAATGACTAGTTTGCTGCTTAATAATAGTTAGGTAGTAGTTAGGTTAAGATATTAGGTAAGGATTAGGGATGTAGAGTAAGATCAAACTTTAGAAGTACTAATAAGCTGCAAATATTTTTATAGTAAACAGGTTATAATGAGCCTTTAGTTAATGTAAATTGATATTTAAACTAAAGTGTTAACTAAAATTATAAAATGTATAATTTATTACTCAATATTTAGAATTTTTATCTTGAATAACTTAAAGAGATTGTTTACTTTTAAGTCTTCATATGTTGGTTACTGTTTTTTTTGTTTTTGTGGAAGACATGAAAAGATACTTAAAATATGTGGAGGTTAATAGTACTGTATGTAATTTCCATTTATTTATTGAAATTTCATAGTGATGGAATGTTAGTGATTGGATGGCTTTGAAAAAGTAGTAAAAATAAAGACCTGTTTAAAATGATTTAAGACCTACAACACAATATTTAAGCGAATTTAAGACTTTTTAAAGCCTACATTTTTTACATTAAGACTTTTTAAGACCCCACAGAGACCCTGTAATAAACAGAAACACCCCAATTACCAAGAAACTGTTCATTCTTTGTTTATCCAATATTCCTTATTATCTTTTGAGTTATCCTGAGGAAACTTTACTTCAAAATGTTAAATAAAATGTGGTGATACATTGCAACGGTTTTTAAATTAAAAACAATGCCAGACATTTCCATTGAGTACTTTAGTTTGAATTAAACTTCTCAATAAACAAATTTTAAAAATCCTTTCAGAAAGAATGAAGAGATCATCTATGTTAGCATCTTTACAGTTTATAAGCTTTTGCATATGTTAATTATATTGTACTTTGTTAAACCATTTAAATGTTGTTAAAGTGGTGATTTTTAATGTGGTGATTAAGGTGTTTTACCATTATACTGAATGGAATACTTGCAGTGGAGTAGAGTTCATTCAGTACTGTTCTTATTTTCTTTTTTTCAGCTAATGACAATGACCTCAAGATGGAAGAAGGCATGTCCTTCACCATAGGTCTGTGTGAACTCACATTTCACTTTACAGAGTTCTCATCAATAGAAGCATGAATTTGCACCATTTTTGGCACATTTAACCATCATGCTTTTATTTCAGAACCTATTCTTATGGAGGGAACGTCAGAATTCAGGATCCTGAGTGACAAGTGGACTGCTGTGTCTGTGGACGACAAAAGGTGTTGTGCTCAATTTCTTCTCCCACACTTTCTCTCACAACCTTTCTAATAAGAGCACAATGCAGCAGTTTAAATGTAGCCCACATTAATCATCCATTACTTCATGCGAGAACAAGTGGCTAATTCCTATTGAGAATCTTCAAGAACTTTATTTCTATTGGCTGTTGACATTTAACTTGGAAAGACTAAGTACTCTTAGAATTTGAAGCACGTATAGAGGCAAGTGCTCCGTGATAAACTTTCCTTTAACTGCATATATTTCACTCGAGAGCACTTCAGTCTTAATTGCAAATGAGCTGATTGCCCTGTTGGCAGGTGAGTGCCGAGTGTTAATACTTGGTCAGTGGTTGATTAAAACTCTGATTATTAAGGCTGACTGGGGTGCAGAATATGAAAATGGATACTAAAATAATGTTTCAAAGAGTACTTCATTTGATAGCATGCATGAACACATTCATGGGGGATTCTATATTTTGGAGGCATGTTTTTGTATATGTTTCAATCGATCGGCTGAAGATATCAACCGACAATCTCATGTAATGACTCGATCGGTACTCTTCAATCTGGCCAATCTCATGAACCAATTGCAGGGGATTATTTATGAGTTTAGAAGCAGAGGAGGACACACGTGCGCTCTTGTATAGTACACTTAGGCTACAGCAGGCACAATACATGAGGGGGTAAATGGTGCGTGGGGTCATGAGCAATCGATGTGTTAATGTCAATGTCAATTTTATTTATATAGCACTATTAAACACAACCAAAGGTTGACCAATGTGCTGAACAATAAATCACAAAGAACAAGTTTAAAATTATAGCTAAAACAAACAATTCTCACAAATAGTTAATATAGGTAAAAACAACCAAATCTCACTAATAGTTATATAGATGTGCTCGCGTCACAACAGCTAACATATATACAGATGCGGTGCAACCTGTTTTTACAGTCTATTGGCACAACTCGTGTGAGTGAGGGTCTCTTTCTTGCAAGTGCAACCATTGTATTTGAAAATATTTGAATGGTCTTGCATGTATTTAGACCTTTTTTACATATAACAGCTGAAAGTTCTGTGTTTTTGACACTATTGCAAGATCACTAAACGTCTGTAAATAAAACTAAGATAAATAAAACTTTCATGAATGGTAATAATATAACTTTTTGTTATACATTGTAAAACATGGGGAGTAGGGTTTACTTTGAAAAAAGCATGAAAAGGTTTTTCACTCAGAAAAGGCTAGTAAATCTTCAAAGCTTTGCCAAGTCAAAGATTAACCAAAATTATTAGTACATTTAATTAGAAATGTTAAATTTATTGAGGAATTCAGAGTAAATTTTATTGATGTTTAGTTTGTAAAATTGACTTAAGACATACATTGAAATATAATACTATTTTTAGATTTATATTTTATCCAAGATTCCTAGTTATGTTTTTAGTTATCCTTAGTAAACTTTACTTCAAAATGTTTAATTAAACATGGTTATGCACTGCAACTGTTTCTTAATTAAAAACACTGCCAGACATTTCCATTGAGTACTTTAATTTGAATTAAACTTCTCAATAAACAATTTTAAAAAGCCCTTTCAGAGAGAATGAAGGGGTCATCTATGTTGGCATTTTCCTCTTCTGTAGTACTGCCCAGTACAATGATCTTCACAACGATTGGTGAAGCAGTCTTTAAGCTGGTCTCTCGATTAAAATATTGTATTGTTAGTTGCAATGTTATCTCTTGCTTTATGCTGTAATTGACAGTATTGATGTTAAGACCTGTGCTCTGTTGCATAAAGTGATTAAAGTTAACCAATATGTACAATTTTGCGGGATAAAATACTCACATGTCTTTAACACTTAAAGAACCTTACATATGCAAAGTAAAAAGTAATTCAGACATTTTTAATGTACCTGGTAGTCTTCAATGAGTTCCTGAGATGATTCTCCCAGGCAGGAAAGCATGCAGTGGATAACAGAATCTCACTAGCCTTGACCTTGCTAAAACAAAAGTAAATTTCTTCGGGTCATTAAACAGTAACTGTTAATCTCCATCCATATATAACTGCTTATCTAACAAATCAGACAGCTGCTGGAAATCGGATGTGCAATATAAATTTACCTGCTTGAGTGAATATAGTTCAGTTTTTGCAGAAAGGTTGGCTACAGGGGCGTTGTGGTTAAGCTTATGTTCCCGTTATTGATAAATAAAATAATATGTAACACATTTACAATTTAGTAGTCAAATCAACACTTTTTGCCAAACACACACACATATACATGTTGAATACATTAGTATATCTATATTAATGTGTTGTGCAACTTGCCTTACATGAGCTTGAATGGTGAGTGCAGTCTGTTAAACATATTCAGTGGTGTAAAGCAACTAATTACAAATACTTAAATTACTGTAAATGAGTAGTTTTTCCCAGGAATTGTAATTTACTGAGTAGTTTTAAAAATGTGTACTTTTACTTTCCCTTGAGTACATTTTAGTGCAGTATTGGTACTTTTACTCCACTACTTTTCTTTAACCTGCAGTCACTACTTTATTTTTTCATGTCTATGGGGATTAGAAAAATAAGTCCTGTGATTCCCGTCTTATGCTAAACGGATCTTTAGCAAACTCACTCAAGTAATACTTTGAGCATTCTCTTCAACCAACAAAATTGCTGGAGCTCTATAGCTTTTTGCAAACCAAACCAAATTGATCAATAAACAAATAATGTATTTTACCTTGGAAATGAGACATGTTGAATTCTTCTTTTACTATTTGCAGTGTTTCTGAATTGAAATTACAATATTGTTTGTCAACTCTGTTACTATATACAGTACAGACCAAGTTTGGACACGCCTTCTCATTCAAAGACTTTTCTTTATTTCCATGACTGAAAATTGTAAATTCACACTGGAGGTATTAAAACTATGAATTAACACGTGGAATTATATACATAACAAAAAAGTGTGAAACTATGTGAAACTGCGTGAAACTGTGTGAAACTAAGTGTGAAAATATGTCATATTCTAGGTTCTTCAAAGTAGCCACCTTTTGCTTTGATTAATGCTTTGCACACTCTTGGCATTCTCTTGATGAGCTTCAAGTGGTAGTCACCTGAAATGGTCTTTACTTCACAGGTGTGCCCTGTCAGGTTTAATAAGTGGAATTTCTTGCCTTATAAATGGGGTTGGGACCATCAATTGTGTTGTGCAGAAGTCAGGTGGATATACAGCTGATTATAGGCAGACTGAATAGACTGTTAATTTGCATTATGACAAGAAAAAAGCAGCAAAAAACAAAAAAGTTAAGAAAAGCAAGTGGCAAAAGCAATTGGCATTACGTTAAGAAATGAGGGTCAGTCAGTCTGAAAGATTGGGAAAACTTCACAAAAAAGTCACAAAAACCATCAAGTGCTACAAAGAACCTGCCTCACATGTGGACTTCCCCTGGAAAGGAAGACCAAGAGTCACCTATGCTGCGGAGGGTAAGTTCATCCGAGTCACCAGCCTCAGAAATCGCAGGTTAACAGCAGCTCAGATTAGAGACCAGGTTAATGCCACACAGAGTTCTAGCAGCAGACACATCTCTAGAACAACTGTTTAGAGGAGACTGTGTGAGTCAAGCCTTCATGGTAGAATATCTGCTAAGAAACCCCTGCTATGGACAGGCAACAAGCAGAAGAGTCTTGTTTGGGCTAAAGAACAGAAGGAATGGACATTAGACCAGTGAAAATCTGTGCTTTGGTCTGATGAGTCCAAATTTGAGATCTTTGGTTCCATCCACTGTGTCTTTGTGTGACGCAAAAAAGGTGAACAGATTGATTCTACATGCCTGGTTCCCATCGTGAAGCATGGAGGAGGAGGTGTGATGGTTGTTGGGGTGCTTTGCTGGTGACACTGTTGGGGATTTATTCTAAATTGAAGGCATACTGAACCAACATGGTTACCACAGCATCTTGCAGGGGCATGCTATTCCATCCGGTTTGAGTTTAATTGGACCATAATTTATTTATCAAAAGGGCCAAACAAGTGCTAAGCATCTCTGGGAACTCCTTCAAGACTGTTGGAAGACCATTTCAAGTGACTACCTCTTGAAGCTCATCAAGAGTATGCCAAGAGAGTGCAAAGCAGTAATCAAAGCAAAATGTGGCTACTTTGAAGAACCTAGAATATGACATTTTCAGTTGTTTCACACTTTTTTATTATGTATATAATTCCATGTGTGTTAATTTATAGTTTTGATGCCTTCAGTGTGAATCTACAATTTTCATGAAAATAAAGAAAACGCTTTGAATAACAAGGTGTGTCCAAACTTTTGGTCTGTACTTTATATTATTTGAATCATGTTCAGTTTAAATGATTCAGTGCTTTCAAAAACACAAGTCACTTTCTTTGTAACCTTAAAAAAAAAACAATAACATCTTTATAATATTTTTGTCAGTTCTATTTACCATATTGCTCATTAAATACATGCTGTTGACATTTCTACTTCAGTATCTCATTGGAAACTTTTTATTGATTTAAATGATTTTATTGATTAAGTGTAATGCAGCAGCCTGTTTTTTGACTGGGACAAAAAAGAGAACATATTTCTCCCATCCAGGCCTCTCTTCACTGGCTTCTTGTGAAACAAAGAATTGATTTTAAAGTTTTGACTTTAGCTCTGGACTTGCCCTGGCCTATATATCTGCACTTTTACGTTTGTATTCTCCCCCAAGATCCCTTAGATCTTCTGCTTGGCTTACGCTAATAGGGTATATTATGCATATTATATCATGCAGGACTTTTAATTTGTCAGTAACCTGGCTCAAACGCTTTTGGTAAACTGTATGCCATTACAAAATCAGCGCGTTTAAGGTTTGTTTTCTTTAAAAATTAAAGATCTTCAGTGCCTATTTAAAATGGGTCTCAGAATGTACAAGAAGCACTGCATTAAAATTTCTGATTCATGTCTTAAAAATATTTACATTTATTTTACTCCAGTATTTCCAATTTATTTCCAGTGTTTCTGCGCTTGCCTGCTGGTCCTGACAGGCGGGTGCATGGAAACGCCTTTTCATCTCAGTTTATGTTTCAACAACTAAATAAATGCTTAAGTCTGTTTATCTGATTGTATTTTAATTACATTACAACATCGATGCTGTGAAAGGCACTGCATAAAATTGAAAATGTCACATTAACCATTCACTGGAAGTTTATTGTTATGGGAAGAAACACTAGCTCTGCATATCTCCTATTCCCGCTTGAAAACAAAAGGAGACAGAGTCTTCTCAATCTATGCTTCAAAACTTTGGGACACATTACCTTTAGAAAATAGAGCTTTATATACATAGTGTTATTTAAAAATCAGTCAAACTCATCTCTTCTTTATCCTATTGATATTTTTTTAGACTCATTGACCATACAAATTAGTTTATCTATTTATTTTTAGTTTTAAATTTTATTGCAGCATATATTGTCCTGTCTCTCTAATTGTTTATTATTGTTGCCATGTTTGTAAAGCAATTTGGTCAACATTCGTGTTGTTTTAAGGTGCTATATAAATAAAGTTGACCTTGACCTTATCCAAACCAACTTTTTACCTCTATATAATATTGGTTGTCAACACCATTTCTATTGCTTATCTATTATGTTAGAAACTGTTTACATTACTCAAGTATCTTATTGGAAATGTATCCAATCTCAAAACCCAATCTCTCTAAATACAAGTCCCTTCTTTTTTTTTTTTTTTTTTTTTTTTTACTTTTAATGAAAAGGTAATGGGAAAAAATCTCCTCTTTAGTATTGATTGTTAATTCTGTCACATAATCTCAACATTATTGTTCATACATGTTACTCTAATTCTTGTTAATCTTAAACTCTTACAGAGTTTGACCACAAACTTTACTTGCTAGCATAAATGCTAAGAATACATGTCACTAACGACATCATGATGACAAGACTATTAAACAACCCAATAATCACTGGCAAATTCTATCTTCATTTTGATATTGCATAGATATATTTGTATGTTATACAATATAATGCTTGGTGTAAGAACATTTTATATCTAAATATTTTTAGAGAGAGAGCACAAAGATTTCAGTGCTTTAGATATACATAATTTACTGTAATCATCATACTTGTATGGGGATAATTCCATTAGTTTAAATGTAAAGGAACAAAATTGATGCAAGATTTATAGGAATGTACTTTAATAATTTTTTTTATTATTATTAATGTTGCACGAGGAAAATTGGTCATTTTATAAATATAGGAATTGATTACACAGTATTAAGACATACTGACTAAATTGGACAACAAGAAATAATGGTTTTCATCCTTATAAGACACTTTTTGGGAGAGAATATTATGTTTTTATGACCTGTGTTTCATGACTGACAATTTTTTTTAAACATTTTTAAATAAACAAAAACACTTGAACAAAGCTGCAAAAAAATATGCTTTGGACACCATACATACAAATGTAGAATCACTCACCCTTACACTAGACAGAATCCCATCTTTTCACTTTTTTTCTTCAAAGATGAAGGTCAATGAAAACATCTTTACTCATTTATAGGCATTTGCACGGTGCATCCAAAAACATGAAAAATGCTTGCCACTTTGCTGAGCGGTCATGAGCTGTGATACCCATAAACATAACACAAATTGGGACATAACTAGACTGAATAAAAATAATCTAGTGTATAGTATTTATGGGTATAGCAGAATAGAATGAATTATAATTAGGATGATTTTGTGAATAGGATGTTTGTCAAGGTCAATTATGTTACAGTTGACATTTTTACTTTAGTATCTGATTGGAAACATCCTCAGTTTAATTAAATGCTTTCCAAACACAAGTCACTTGCTTTTTTACTTTTAATGGAGAAAAAAAAATGTTTGTAATATTGCTTGTCAAGTCTGTTGATATATTGTTCATTATAGATAGTCACACACACACACACACACACACACACACACACAGTATAATACTGTGTGTATGTGTATATATATATATGTGTATATATATATATATGTATATATATATATATATATATATATATATATATATATATATATATATATATATATATATATATATATATACATACACTCAAATGAATAACTTTTGCTAATTTAAAAAGGCAACTAAATTTTTGAGTTTTTCGGGCCATAACTTAATTGTTTTATGTTCACTCGCTTTAAATTTGTAAAAATAAATAAATAAATAAATAAATAAACGATTTAGTTAACGTAATAGATTTGTGTTGGGTCAACATGAAGAAATTGTGTAGAACCCAGCATTTTGTAAAGTGTATTTTTACATCACAATTTCAGATGTAGGCTTGAAAATCACTGAATGGCTGTTTGTTTGTGTGTGTGTGCGTGCGTGTGTGTGTGTGTGTGTTCTTATTGATCCTCAGGTCGGCACAGTTTGAACACACGGTTGTCATCACTAGCGATGGTGTAGAGATTCTGACTAAGCTACCTGAGGAAGATTGACAGGAATGACGGGACATCTTGTGACGTGTGAGATGGATCTGTTGTTTAGAATTTGCTATTTAAATAAAATTTTCTAAACTTTTCTCCAATTTTTAATCGTATTTTTTTTTTTACCTGTCTTAATCAAATTTCTTTTTGAAACAGCTGCACGACTCCACTGGGTTTTTACATTTCGAATTAATGGAGTTCTAATTATTTAATGCGTGTTATTTTGTAGCCTAATGAGTTTCAATATCTCTTTACTGTTACAAACTCTTGCTTTATGATATCATCTCCGACTTAAGCATGAACACACAGGGAATGAAATGTCATTATGTCTTATTATTATGTCGGGGTTTCTCCATACATCATATTACTCCGAAGTAATGTAGTTAGCTCTGTATCTCTCCAGAGGTGATTATATTTATGGGCCATGGGTTGCAGTATGAACCATGTGTAGCGTATTAAGAATACCCTGTAATCATATCTTGCTACACGACATCATTTGTAAACTGTTTATGCTGTCTGACATTTGACGGAGTTTGAAATTTGTCCTGCTATAACAATAACAGCGTCTTAGTCAATAGGGTGTATGTGGTAGTTTAAACTATTTTACAAATATTTTACTTCTACAAAAACCACACTTGAATGACTAAATTTATTCTGAGTGAAATGAGCTAGAAAGTGCACTGACGTGCTCGAATAGTCGACTTCCATTCTGCATCTGTTTAATAAGACCGTGCCTCTATGATGTGTACAATTAAAGTTAATTACATTGTGACCCTTACTAGTTAATCCGTTGCTTCAGAGGCTGAAGTGCCATCTGGAAACTTTCCTTCTGTTTTTCTAAACCGTCCGCAAGGGTTATATATATATATATAAATATATATATATATATATATAACTTGCAGTTTCTCTAAAAAGATACATTTAAAAGATAAGTGATTAGTCATGGTCAAATATAGCCTTTTGTGTCCAAAAAATTATTTTATTAATATAACAGTGATGTTTTTTTTTCAAGACGGACAAAGAAAAGAGAGACGAGTTTATTACACGACATAATTAATTATGGATTAATGATTACCCATATGAATTAGGCTACGTATGCCTTAATTTTCATTTACATGGCAAATGGAGAAAAAATAGTAAAGCGAATATTTGAAAAGCCATTAAATTGTAAAGATGATGCACAGTACCAGGTCGCAGTAATAATAATAATAATAATATTATTATTATTATTATACTTTTATCTGTATATCTTTAGATGGTCTAGTTTATGCGATTTTTATCACAATTTCTGACCGCATGGTGCCTGTCTTTCTAAGCTGTGCTCATTGAATCGAATCATAATTGCAGCCATTTGGTTTTGTGCATCCTCGCGCATTTTCCTCTGTCTGCCGCAATTACGAGCAATTTCTGGCGCTGAGGGAATCTTTTCAGTCGGACAAAAGAAAAAAGTAATAGGCGGAGAATCAATTGGCGTTTTTCTTATGTAGATACAGCGTGCAGCCTAGTGCTGAACCGTTTGCAGGTGTTGTTTATTCTGTCATGAAGGATGTTCTTGCGATCAATATGTCCTTAAGTAAAGTTACATTCGCAATTCGAATATTTTTCGTTTAGTTATTTCCATATTAGTTTTAATTACACCTTATCTTGTCTTTTGTTTTTATTTTCATTTGTGTCTGCACATGTTGACTGTGAAATGCTGATTCTATAGCCCAAGATCCTGCAGTTCTTTCTTTAGCCTATTCTTAATCTTGTAATATATTAGTCGTCTAAATATATAAATATCTTATAGAAAAAATATAAATATTTTAATCCCATTAAATCGCAATTATATAAATAGATTATAATTCGCATATATTACATTATTGAGTACACCCCTCACATATCTCTTGTAATAAAAAAAAATATTGGATAGTTTACAATAATGTATGTGTATATACATTGGATTAATCATTACCAAAGCCAAAACTGGAACTAATCTACCAACAGTCCAAAAATTTGTAGACCTAAATTAATATGTTGGAGCAAATATTAAATCATAATTCTTGTAAATATGAAAAAAATCAATGAAATAATAAATAATAATTTTTTTTACAATATTAGAGTTTTTGGTTGCAATGTAACTCGTAAAATTTAAACATAATATTATTTTATACCTAAAGATGTTAAGTGACCAAACTTATTTCAAACGGTTTAGTAAAACTGTTTTGTTTACATGCACCGAAATATATTGTCTATTTTCACTAAAATTTGATAAAAATATTCATTTTCTAAAAGGGTGTACTCATTTCTGCTGCACTGAATACATATCTATATAGAAAAGAGATGAATGAGATCGAACAAAGTGTTGCAAATCAAATTTGTCCTAGTGACAACCCACCCAGCGCGAAAACTTGCAGCAGCTTTAACAAAACTGATTGATGCACTAGAAACAAAACCGCAAAATGTTTCGTTTCGAGAAATATTACAGAGACCCTCTCTTTCATGCAGATGTAGCTTTGAATCCAAACGGAAGCAGTCATTTGGACTCATAGTGGTGTGGTTGCAAATAAGCCCTGGCATTTCAATTACTCCCAGCTGTGAGTGTTGACATAAGGAGTTAAGCAAAACAGTTCAAATGTGCTTATAATCATAGTAGCCTTTGCCGTACCCTACATACGCCACCACAGATACCTGCTGCGTTCGAGAATGAGATGGTACCCAAAATCAGATTAAAAATAGACGTCTTTTTCAATAGGAATCAAAGGATCCGGCATCAAACCACGAAGTCCTTATTTAGAAAAACCGCGGAAGCTCAAATGAACCTCAACAGAAACAAATCATGTAAGATAAACAATTAGTAACAACAGCGCCTGAAAACGCTATTCTTTATAAATAACTTCGTGGGTAAACTTCGAGAACACAAGTGATAATGTTATGATGTTTGTTTGTTCGTTCAAGCTATTTGATTTCTTCCTCTGTATTTCATTTTTTTTATTTAACTTTAAATGCAAGTAAATATTTTAGCTATGTTGTGTTGGTTTATTTTAGAAATTAGACTAATAGTGGTTCATGAAAACAATTATATTTAGACGATTTGAGGGCCTAATTGTAAAATATGCATTCTGCGTTTTGTGATATACAAATTAATAATACTAATAGGCTAATAACAATTAATTAATGTCAATTTCCATATATGATAAAAGGCGACGTGGACATATTACATATAATGCTGCAGAATGCAAACCAGGCAGAGTCATATTAGTGGAAAGTAATGTACACTTGAGCAAGTGCTTGCATGCTTTGCTCCTATAGTAATCCGGGTTTTCCACCTATCCAGTATCTATTTTAGTTTCAAAAATATTGAAGTTGACCATGTAAAGACGTGAGGCAAGCTATGAGAACTGTGTGTCCCCGTACAAGAATAACTCAAGGCTGTGCTGGAGCTGGAAGCGAGGGCTTGAGGAGAATGTTTCCAGGGCGGTCTGCTTGAGGCGGTTTTATGTATTTTTTCTCTGGTTGAGTGGCGTTCATAAAACGTCTGGAAGAGGAGCGAGCTGACTCCAGAGAGTCTGGAGTGGGAAGAGCCCTCGCCGCACGCGGAACGCCCTCGCATCTCCTTCTGCGCATGCCAAGACGCGTCCGAATGCCAGGCGTTCCCCCTCATACCGAGAGGTACAGGATAGTACCTCTTCACCAAGACAATTTACAAAGGGATAAAAAGGAGTAGAGTTGTTGCATAATCTCTAAAGATAAAAAATATATACTTTATGCATTGTAGGAATTAGAGGAAGATATGAACAAAGAGAATCTGCATGTGTATTCTACAGAGATTCTACACCGTTAATGCGGACTGAATAAAAAAAAAAAATCTAAATTAGTCCATATGTTACTGAGTATCCATCTAATATTATCGAAGGATAATTTCAAGTGTTTATTAAAAAATCGTTGATGTCAGCTTAAAAGGATCCTTTATGGGACTTTTATGATCCAGTAAGATCTAGATTTGCTTTACAGCACAAACATATGGCAATATAAAATACTTTAAATGACAACCAAATAATGAAACCTTAACTGAGTAAAACGCACATTTAATTATTACTGCAGATTGCAAGCATTTTAATAGATTTATTACTAAACCTAATCATTTCTGTACAACACTCAAAAAGGCTACCCGTTTGTACTTGGAATGTGAATTAAAAGTATCTGATTACCATTTTCAACTGGACTAAAACAAATAAATAAATAGAAAAATAATTTAATGTGCGTTGCTCGAGCGCATTAGTCGCGCCAAAGAATTCCACGGCAATCATCTTTAACAAACCCAGCCTGAAAATAGATTTTGAAGTTAATGTTCTCCTAAAATACAAGTCCAGTGACAATAGGCCTATTATATCCTCCTACAACAGGTGTATTCGGCCATTTTAGTCCTCTGTTAGAATATGGTCCCTGTACTCATTGCAGAGCTGTGATGAGGTTGTATTAAGGTACTGGGTTGTAGATGTGTAACCGCATTTGTAGATGAGTACCAGGAATAGTTTGTTAAGAACGATGGGGCAGTGGTGTTTGGCGGCCCAGTGGGCTGCTCTGAAACTGTGTCCCCGTCGTTCTGTGTTGGGTTCGGTGGGAAATCCCAACCTGCTTGTGGCGGTGGAGAGCTGGAAGGAGAGTCACCGGAAGCAACCTGCTGGTCTGCAGGAATCTCGCCATTTTTCCACAACTTTTTGAATTTTGAGCGTCTGTTCTGGAACCATATCTTCACCTGTTGATATCCAAAAACGACGCGCAAATGTATGTTAAACATGGGATGCAGTTCTAGAAGAACTAAAAAACAGCAATGCAGAACTAAAGTCTAAACATGTTGTCAAAAAGTGCCGCGTTTTACCTGGGTCTGCGTGAGCCCCAAAGACGCCGCCAGTTCGGCGCGCTCTGGAAGCGCGAGGTACTGGGTCTTCTGGAATCTGCGCTGGAGAGCCGCCAGCTGAAAACTGGAGTAGATGGTTCGCGGTTTCCGTACTTTTTTTGGCTTTCCATTCACCATGCGCACCTCCGGTTCACTCTCTTCTTTTTCTTTGAAAATGAACCACAAAAACCATTGTAAACTATAAGAATTCAAACT